GAAGTGGAGGTTGAAGTCGCCTAGGATGATGAGGTGGTCGGAGCAGAGGCAAGCTAGGAGGGTGGAGATGTCAGATGAAGGTGGGGGAGGATTTTGGGGGCGGTAAAGTAGGAGGATTTTTAGAGAGAGGTGGGAGGGATGGCAGAGGGCAACAACAACAACAAGATTCCATTTATTGAGCGCCTTTCACGTCGGGAGGACGTCCCAAGGCGCTGTACAGTTGGGTCAGGACCCGAGCAGGGGGGAAATGGTCAGGTTGAGGGGAGGGAAGGGAGGGAGCGAGGAGGGGGTAGAGAGTCGAGAGGGGAGCTGAAGGCACGGTCAAAGAGAAAGGTCTTGAGACCAGCCTTGAAGGAGGAAAGGGAGGAGGCGGTGAAGGCACTGGGGGATAGAGTTCCAGAGCCTCGGGGCTGAGAGGCTGAAGGCCCGGCCACCGATAGTAGGGCGGTTGGGGCGGGGGATGTGGAGCAGACCGGAGCCAGAGGAATGGAGGGTACGGGCGGGTAGGTAGGGGGATAGTAGGTCGGAGAGGTAGGAGGGAGCAAGGCCGTGAATGGCCTTATAAGTGAGGATCTTGAATTCGATCCTCTGGGGGATGGGGAGCCAGTGGAGGCGAGCGAGGGTGGGAGTGATATGGTCGCGAAGCCTGGTGCGGGACAGTACACGAGCTGCAGAGTTCTGAATGACCTGCAGTGTGGAGGGAGGGCCGGGAAAGCCGGCGAGGAGAGAGTTCCCATAGTCCAGCCTTGAGGTGATAAAGGCGTGGACCAGAGTTTCAGCAGCGTGAGGGGTGAGGTAGTGCCGTAGTCTGGCGACATTCCGGAGGTGATGGAAGGCGGTGCCAGTTGTGGCGCGGATATGGGGGAGAAAGGACAGCTCAGGGTCGAACAGAACCCCGAGGTTCCTGACTGGCTTTGAGAGGTGGAGAGTGCAGCCTTGGATACTGATGCAAAGAGAGAAATGAGCCGGTGGAGTAGTGGGATAGGGCAAGTGACGCCCTGGATATGAGGGCCACCCCTCCGCCGTGGAGGTTGGGGTGTGGGGCATGGTGATAGGTGTAGCCGGGTGGTGTGGCCTCAGCGAGGGGAAAGGTGTCACCTGGGGTGATCCAGGTTTTCGTGAGGGCCACAATGTCAATGTTCTCATCGAGGATGAATTCATTGATGGCCAGGGTCTTCTTGGAGCGGACGTTTTGAAGGCCAATGCGGAGTGGACAGTTGGCAGGTGGATGTGTGGGATGGGAATGGGTAGTGGATTGGTTGGCAGGGAGGGTGGGGATGTGGGTGAGGGAGGAGGTTAGTCCCCGGGGAATGGGTCCGGGGTGGCTTGCGGCGGTAGTAGGGAATGGGGCAGTCGATGCGTCTGCCAACGCCGAGTGTCGCGATGAGCCCAGTCAAGCAGAGATAGGAGGCGGGAAAGGCAGAGAGAGAGCAGGACAGAGCGGGAGAGTTGCAGGGAGGGGGGGGGGCATTTTGAGGGAGGGTCAGGTTGGGTCGGGGGTGGCAGCCAAGATGTACACGCTGGGAGGCGGCGGATTAGTGGGACATTGTCAGCCTGCAGGAAGCTGTAAGGGTTAGAGGTGGCGCAGAGGGAGGAGGGCACTCATTGTGGTTAGCAATGAGCAGCCTCCAGCGGAAGGACAGGAGAGACAGAGAGAGGATGGAAGGGAGGAAGACACTGGTTATAACCTACATGGTAGCTGCTACCAGGGATTCAAACCTGGAGGGCGGAAGTGATGTCACGCAGAATGGCGGGAAAATTTGGAAGTCCCCAAGACACCTGCCCTATCTCAGAGTTCACGTGTACCTGGCCCAGCCTACAGCTACAGGTCCCTGCCTCTGGCTGACGCCAATCCCGATCCCCAGCCTCGAACTATCGCCAGCCCCGATCCCTGAGACACCGGCCCTACCACTAGCTGTTACCAGACCCCGGCCCCCGCTCTGGATACCTCCGGTCCCAATCCCTGCGACCACAACCCCCCCACTGGCTACCGCCGGTCACAATCCCTGGGACCCCAACCCCCCATTGGCTAACGCTGGTCCCGAGCCCTGGGAGACCAGCCCTATGACTCTCTTCCGCTGCCTGACTTACCTTTTGTGAGTCCCGCTCGGTTTACATGGGTTTTGGAGGTCCTGCCGCTCACTGGCTTGTGACTAAAGCCTGGTATCCCGTATGTTTGTTTAACAGCTTTATCTACCTGTCCTGCCACCTTCAAAGATCTACTTATATGAACCCCCGAGCCTCTCTGTTCCTTCACCCCCTTATTTCCTCTCCTCATTCTTCCTCCCAAAATGTATTACTTTGCATTCTCCACATTAAACTTCATCTGCCATGTGTCTACCCATTTTACCAGTCTGTCTATGTCCATTTGCAATCTGCTACTATCCGCCTGTTCCGAGCTTAGTATAATTCGCACACTTGAAAATTGTACTCCCAATACCCAAGCCATTTATATAGATCAAAAACAGCAGTGGTTCCAACACTGTCCCTGGGGGATAACACTGCACACTTCTATCCAGTCAGAAAAACAACCGTCTCCCACCTACGTTCCGTCTCCCACCTAATAATAATAATAATAATAATCCTTGCATTTGATATAGCGCTTTTCACGTCGGGAGGACGTCCCAAAGCGCTTCACAGAATATACTGTAAAGTGAATTGACTGTATATTTGTGGGCGAACGCGGCAGCCAATTGCGCACAGCAATGTCCCACAAACAGTCGTAGATTGAAAATGACCAATTTATTATTGTTTTGGGTTTTTTGGAGGGATTATTATTAGGCGTGTGGAGTAAGGAAACTTGCCCAAGGTTTCGCCCTGCCTGGAATTGAACCCAGGTGTCTTGCTTGCAAAGCAAGTGCTCTAACCACTGAGCTACAGGACTCCACGTCTACGTTCCGTCTCCCACCTACGTTCCGTCTCCCACCTACGTTCCGTCTCCCACCTACGTTCCGTCTCCCACCTACGTTCCGTCTCCCACCTACTTTCTGTCACGGCCCTTTTAACACTGTTAGCTTCTAGTTTGTTTACAAGTCTCTTATGGGGCACTTTATCAGACGCCTTTTGAAAATCCATATAAACTACATCAACTGCACTACCTTCATCCAATCTCTCCGTTACTTCATCGAAAAACTCTTATCAGGTTTGTTAGACATGATTTGCCTTTAACAAATCCGTGTTGGCGTGAGATGTCCTCGCCTTCAAGGCCCTCCCACAGGCTTCTCCTTCTGACATCTGTGACCTCTCCGCTCCCTCTGCTCAGTAGGCCCCAGCCTGCTCCACTTGCCCAGCCCGGCACACTCCACCATCAGCAGTCAGACCTTCAGCCTCTCTGCCCCCACCCTTTAGAACTCCATTCCACATTCCCTTCGTCGCACTCCCTCCTTGCCTCTTAACAACAATTTGGATTTAAATAGCGCCCTCCATGCCGGATGGCGTCTCAGAGCGCTTCACATTAACGGATCCCGGGGCCGAGCCAGGGGGAGGGGGAGGAAGGTGACCAAAGGCACGGTTGAAAAGATAGGTCTTCAGCCGTGACCTGAAAGTGGGAAGCGAAGGGAGTGAAGAAGGGAGATCCAGAGCCTCGGGGCGTAGTGGCTGAAGGCACGGCCACCGAGGCTGGAGCGAGGGACTCAGGGGACGAGGAGGAGGCCAGACCCGGCAGAACGAAGGCAACGGGCACTGTTGTGAGGAGAGAAGAGATCAGAGAGGTAGGGGGATGCAGAAGAGTGGAGGGATTTGAAGACAAGGGTGAGGATCTTGAAGTCAATCCTCTCTGGGACAGGCAGCCAGTGCAGTCTGGCAAGGACTGGGGTAATCGGGGTCGGAGTTTGGTGCGGGTAAGAATGCAGGCGGCAGTTTTGTATGACCTGGATTTTACGAATGGTAGTGGAGGGTAGGCCGGCGAGGCCATTTGAATAGTCCAGCCGAGAGACGACAAAGGCCATGGACCAGGGTTTCAGCGGCTTTTGTAGTGAGGTATTGGCGGAGACAGGCGATGCGTCGGAGGTGGAAGAAAGCGGTGCTGATGAGGGACTGGATGTGGGGGGAGGAAGGATAATTGGGTGTTAATCTGACGCCTAGGTTGCGTACGGGTTCGGAGAGTTTTAGAGGGAGGTCAGGTAGGTGGAGGAAGTGAGAACCGTGTGATTTTAGACATTGACGAGAGCCAAAGAGTATGGATTCCGTCTTGTCAACGTTCAGCTGAAGGAAATTCGCACTCATCCAGCTCAAGGTCTGATCGGTACGTCTCAAAACTCTACTCTTCGATCACGCTTTCGGCCACCCACCTACACCTACTCTCCCTGTCCGCCACCCTTCCTGATCTCAAATCCCTGACTGTCCAGCGCCTTGGGACGTCCTCCCGACATGAAAGGCGCTATACAAATATAATTCGTATTGTACCAGTAAAGTGGAACGGTTTAATGCAGTCTGACCATAACTTTCAGCAGGTCCAAAATTAACTGAACGGTGCTATCGTCAGTGCAGTGGTCCAAACTTCAACGAGAGCTATTTTATTGATTTCCACAAGTTTTTAAATGATTTGACTGCATTTTCATTTTTAAACAAAATCTGCTGTTTGTAGTAATGATACAAACAAATGTGAATTGGACTTCCAAATCCTTTCGTGCTTTCGCCCTCTAAAATCTCCTCCATTCTTCTGCCCTCATGACCTCCTGCTCAGGCATACAGCTCAGTCCCACTAGGCGTGTAAGAGCTTTGAGCCACTATTGCCCTTCCTCAATGCAACTGTCACAATCTCTGACTTGCCTTCAAAACCTGCTCCACCTTCAGTCAACAACCTCAATCCTGCTCCACCCAACCCACACCATTTCTGTAATGCTTTGAGACTTATTCTTCTTATTCGTATTATTCTTACTCTATCTTATTCCATCTATGTGACTTATTCAGTGTCAAAAGGTTCCTTAAGAGCACACTGTTCATTAAAAAAAGTTAGGAAATGTAAGACATTTTCAATTTAAAAAGCATATTAAGCTCACCTGAGACTGGTCGTGTGATGGTGGTGTGAGCTGTGCTACATCTGGTCCTGGTACAGGCAGGATGTTGTTTGGGTAGTCTAACAAGTATGAAACCACGTTTGTGTGTCCACCTTTGGCAGCTTCTATAAGCATTGTAGACCCATCCTGAAAAGCAAAGGTAGAACAAAGCCACGTTTCGTCTTTCCCGTGAAGATAGCATTTGCCTTAGATGACTTGATTGAGTCTACGCCACCACAAATTGGAGCATCGCACACAGAATATTTGTAAAATACCTTTAACCGGTGTGTAGGATCGGCCCCATGTGCCAAAAGGAGTTCCACGACAGCGAGGTGGCCTCCAGCACATGCCAAAGACACTACTGTGTGGTCATTGTTAGCTGTAGCCCTGTTCACGTTTGCCCCTGAAAAGTTAAAAACTGACATTAGCTTCAATTAACAGTGCTGTGTTCGTTGTTCCGTTTGCACTGGCTTAGTCAATCTGCATTCCATAAATCTGCATGCTTGATTTTAAACATTTGAACTCACAATACTTGATTTTAAACATTTCATCAGCATTTTTGGGAGCAATAAGTCAATTCCTCTCTGCACTTCTTTATATGACAACCCTTATCCCACAGGGCAAAACCTTGGGCAAGTTTCCTTACTCCACACGCCTAATAATAATCCCTCCAAAACCAAAAACAATAATAAATTGGTCATTTTCAATCTACGACTGTTTGTGGGACATTGCTGTGTGCAATTGGCTGCCGAGTTCGCCCACAAATATACAGTCAATTCACTTTACAGTGTGTTCTGTGAAGCGCTTTGGGATGTCCTCCCGACGTGAAAAGCCCCATATCAAATGCAAGGATTATTATTATTATTATTAGCTATCAAAGAACTAAGATCCACGACAAACTCATGCACGTCAATGGATGTGGATTACTCAGGCACGCGTAATGTCAATATAAGCCTACACCCTCATACCAGGACATCAAACTGTTCCAATTATCATTCCAGGTGCAACACTGATGTGCATACTAGAGTGCTGGAGAGCAAGACTGAGAAGCAACTCAATGACCAGGGGCGGTTGCAGATGGATGGGACGGGAGCTGGATAATTGCATTAGTACTTAATACGAAAGCTCAAAGCTGTAAGCAACCCTGGCTTACTTTGTTGTTTAGGATGGATACAAATGAGAAAGTCTCAACCCAATATAAAAATAAACAAATAGTTTTCCAAACTTTTTTTTGATGGCAACTCAAGACTAGCTCCCAATTTGTTTTCTTAAAACCTCTATTGTTGCAAGCTAGAAGGAAAGGTGGTCCAATAACTATCTGCAGGAACTCATAATATTGTAGAATATTTCAATATTCGGCAAAATAGAAGCTATATTCTGTAAAAGGTGGAGGCTCACTAGTTCTGGCGACTAAATGAGACGCCAACATTCATAAATCTGGTGCAATGCAGGCAGTACTGTCACTATTTAAATGGATGATTGATGAGCCTCAAATCCAACTAATAGATTTTCCACAACCGAGATTGCTGGGAACACTCAGCAGGTCAGGCAGCATCTATAGAGAAAGGAAAGTGGGTCAAAGTTTCAGGTCCATGACTCTTCGTCAGAACTGGGGGATGTCGGGAGGAAGAGGTTTTAAGGACTAACAGAGAGGGGAGGTGGGCAAGAAAGAGCCCTTAAAACCTCTATACCCCAAACATCCCCAGTTCTGACGAAGGGTCATGGACCCGAAACGTTGCCCTGCTTTCCCTTTACCATAGATGGTATCTGACCTGCTGAGTGTTCCCAGCGATCTGTTTTTCTTTCAGATTTCCAGCATCTGCAGTATTTTGCTTTTTTTGATAGATTTTCCAACTGTCTATTTTGATAAGGCATCAAAAACACGGCAGTCGACTCCTTGCACTGACAATAGTGCAATGAGTCCAGCATCTTTTGAGTGGATGAGAGAAAAACAATTTAACTTTTTTGTTTATAAACACATCGAGTTTACTCTTGAACCCAATCTTTTGCTTTAGGTTTTCATTTCTATTCTAGTTGATACGAATTCTGGGCCATTGCTGTACTGTTTCAAAAAACAGTTGTTTACAGAAAACACACACGTGGCATTATGGAGTAAATTGATGGCAATTAAACCCAAAATACATCCAAGCGTTATACCTTAAGCTACATTTGTAAACTCTCACCCATCAACAACAACAAAATTACATTTATAGAGCGCCTTTCACGTTGGGAGGACGTCCCAAGGCACTGGATAGTCAAGGGATCAGGACCCAAGCATGGGGGAGGTGTGAGGGACGGCAGAGAGGTGGGAGGGCGACTGAAGGCGCGATCGAAGAGGAGCATCTTGAAACCGGTCTTGAAGGGAGGCAAGGGAGGAAGCAAGTCGAAGGGACTATGGGATGGAGTTCCAGAGGTTGGGGGCAGAGAGGCTGAAAGCCCGGCAACCGATAATAGGGCGGGTCGGACGGGAGACATGGAGTAGGCCAGAGCCCGCTGAACGGAGGGAGCGGGTAGGTTGGTAGGGAGTCAGCAGGTCAGAGAGGTAGGAGGGGGAAAAGCCATGAATTGCCTTGAAAGTGAGGACGGGGATCTTGAATTCGATCCTCTGAGGGATGGGGAGCCAGTGGAGTCGGACGAGGGCGGGAGTGATGGGATTACGGAGCCTGTGCGCAAGAGTATACAAGCTGCAGAGTTTGGGATAATCTGCAGCTTGTGAAGGGAAAAGAGTTGGGAAGGCCAATGAGGAAGGAGTTTCCATAATCGAGCCTCGACACCCATGTCATCAACCTTCACCAGAAAACTACTGCCATCCTTGTTATTTAAGCTTCTACAACTGTTCTTAAAGCTTAGAGACGGGCAAATCTAAGTGAGCATCAAGGTGAAGAATTTCAGCAGTCTGCCTCCAATTAATGTTATGGGTTTCCTCAGCAAAGGGATACGTTACATTATTGGTGTACAAGGTGAGGGTCTGAGACAACGGGGAACACAAACTAAAATCGCATTACAAGCAAGAAGTAAGGCAGATTTTGTTCAAACACACAAATGTGTTCACAGTATATATTAACAGAAGGCCACTGAAATTGGAACTTGTCAGGCCTACTGGCTTTTTACCAGCCCTGAAAAAAAATTCTGTTTTGTTGAACGTTACAGGACAGGAGACAAAGGCTCACCTTTGCTAATGAGGAACTGGACTGTGCATAAATGGCCAGCCCGTGCAGCTTTCATCAAAGGTGTCCGCCCTCCTTCGGATTCATGCTCCTAAAACACAAACATGGATTTAGGAAAGTTATACTTCATAATAAAATTTTAAAAAGTTTATACTTTAGAATAAAATCAGATTTTTCGTCGTTTCACGATTTTATAAGCCGAACCTCACGATTCATCCTTCAAGTAAAGAAACGTACAGAAAATTGACAATGGAACTCGACATATTTTTCAAAGGTTAAAAATATTTAGCAAATTTGCAGGTTTGATCAGATGGTTCAGGAAGCAAGTGCAATCAGCACTAAGACTGCATACATCAACTAGTGCATTAAACTGTTCCAAGATGCAGTTGTGCTTACCAAATCAGCCCCTGCTTGCAAGAGGACATCTGCAACATCGGTATGCCCGTTCTCACAGGCATACGTTAAGGCTGTATCTCCAGTTGCTGTGGTGGCATGCACATTTGCTCCTACAAAAATAATACAATCACTTAGAACATTTCACCTTATTAAACAATAAATGGTGATGTGTTTAGAAACCGTACCCAAGAAAACAGAACTCAGTATCAGCTTAGTGTATCAATACAAAGTTGCTCAACTTATTAACTTAGGTTAATATATTATTCTCTTTTCTATGACCTTTTAAACATTTGCAATATTTTATATACAATGGACAAGTCAGTAGTAAAACACACCTGCTGCAAGCAAATACTTGACCAATTCCAGGTGACCTTCTTGGGCTGCTTCCATCAACGGTGTAGAACAGCCTAATTCAATATCAGCTCCTGCTTTTATTAGAAAGTCCGCAACTTCCAAGAAACCTCCACAGCAAGCCAGAGTCAGCGCAGTCTCTTGAGTCTCCTCTGTCTGTGCATTTATGTTGGCTCCTAAGAATTGAAACAGCAATTTTTAAAGTTGTACTTGCAAAGATTTTGGTTACAATGCTTGAGTGACAAGAGTAAACTTGCATAAGAATATACAGGAGTCATTGTTTCTGACAAAAGCTTAGCCTTATTCAGTAAGTAGACAAATTATTAATTCCAATTCTGAAGCACCTATAATATAGTCAATGAACTGACTGCCTTTCAAAATACCATCCGGGAAATGTGTAGTAAGTACAATTGGCAAGTGCCACATTTAATACTGCAGCGAAATCGCAGCATTGCTGAAGCCACCTCTCCAGGTGGTGCTTAATCACTTAATGCCCATTTTGCTGTGGAAATTCAGAGCTTTTTGCAAGTAAAAGTATAGAATACACATCAATTTGAAACAACATGCAGGCTAAAATTTTTGTAAAATCCCACATAAAGATGTGAATTGGCTCATACCCTGAGCAAGCAGCAATGCTACCATTTCCTCATGGCCTTCCCGTGAAGCCTCCATTAATGGTGTGTATCCTTCGTCGTTCACTTCTTCTAGATTTGCTCCTCTCTCTATGAGCAGAGCTGCAAGCTCCACATGTCCACCACAAGCAGCCAGAGTCAGTGGAGATTCAAAGGAATCGGCTGGCATGTTCACTTGAGCACCGCTATCCAAAAGCAGCCGAGCAACTTCAACATGGCCATCCTGTTCAAGATAAAATCTGCATCTTGATAATAGTAAATAATAATCCTTACATTTGATATAGCGCCTTATAGCATCTTAAAGACGTCTCAAAGCACTTCACAGAATATACTGCAAAATGAATTGACTGTATACTTTGTGGGCAAAACACTACATTTCCAATTTAACATTCTGTTTCAGCTTTCTAATCATCCAGTTACTCTTGCTGAAAAATACATAAATGAAGACACAAATCAGCAGACAACTGAGCTCATTTGAGATTCTCTAACATGCACGTAGTCAAGATACTGTATGTGCTAGTAACTATGGAATAGTGACCCATGCGAACTAAAACGAACAAAAGTGTTCCTGTGTAGGTGAGAGGGAAAACTTTGTTGTAGGACGTCTTATAGACTTATAATAATAACCCTTGCATTTGATATAGAACCTTATGACATCGTTGAGATGTTTCAAGGCGTTTCACAGAGTACATTGTAAAGTGGATAAACTATTTTCTGGGCAAAACGTACCATACATGCTTCCATTAACGCTGTGTGCATCTCATCTGTCTTGTGCTCCTGATCAGCACCAGCTTCGAGAAGAAATCGCACCATTTCCAAATGTCCTGCGTGATACATGGTATGATTAGTACTCAATGGTCCAATTTAAATGAGGCTTCAAAATGTATGTAAAAGAACGAGTAATTCAGTTTAGGTGTGAAGTGAAATGTCCAATTCTTAACATTAGATGGACTAAAGCAAACTGCTGTCGACTTCTTGGATCATATATCTTTAATGAAATGGGATGGTTTATTTTTAGTAATGTGATTCACTGGTACTGATTGTACAAAGTTCAAAAAACTTAAAAATTACATGAGGGAAAAAACAGAAAACATCTAAAAAGAGATGAACAAAATAATGTTATGTGCATGATGCATTTCATTACTTGTTAGCCTTATGATACAATAGAGGGCCTTGAGAAGAGAAGCTAAAAGCCACAAGAACACGGCAGAAGCACATTTAATAATCCGACTTCAAAGAGGTTCCATTTGCAAGTCCTTTTGCATTTTAATATGAAAGTGAATCTCCCAGTTAGCAGGATTAAGTGCATAGAGCAAAAGTGCATGACAATATTTTTTGGGAAATATTAAGGGTTTTATCCCATGTTCCCATTCCCATTGAGCAGGTTCTGAGAAGCGACAGTGCAAGGCAGATTTTGTTCATACACTGGCACATGTTAATCGTACAGTGGTAAAGCTTCTCAAATATCAAGCGTTATTACTGTAATACTAACCATCAATGAATCTCAATGCCTAATAAATATTGCTGCATTTTTTTCCTTAATTTGCATTTCTTTCCCATTCTTGGCTCAATTTCAAATTTTTTTTTTTCTAAAACTAAACATTATCACATAATGTTTTCTTAAAATGTTAAAACCATGTATCAATGGCTCTCGTGTTTTTCACCCTGAGTCTGCTCATCAGACGTGTTGTTCTGTAGGATAATAATAATAATAATCCTTGCATTTGATATAGCGCTTTTCACGTCGGGAGGACGTCCCAAAGCGCTTCACAGAACACACTGTAAAGTGAATTGACTGTATATCTGTGGGCGAACGCGGCAGCCAATTGCGCACAGCAATGTCCCACAAACAGTCGTAGATTGAAAATGACCAATTTATTATTGTTTTGGGTTTTGGAGGGATTATTATTAGGCGTGATGATGAATTTATTCTCACTGTTTTAAGCTGAAACATTATCACACAATGTTTTTTTAAAACTTTAAAATTCATGTTTTGTTCTGAATGCATGGTCACACCAATCCCTTTTTTTCAAATATAAAAAAAATGTTTTGGTTGGGAAATTTGAGACTCCAAAGGGCTCTTTATAAAGCTAATGAAAAGCCAGATAAGTGATTATTTACATGCTCAGATCAGAGATGCAACCAGATCAATCAATGCCTTAACACTTAAAAACAATGAGAATAAATTCATCAGCATCCTACAGAGCAGCACATCTATGAGCAAACTCAGGGTGAAAAACACGATAGACAAAGATGGCATCATAATGGTGTAATGGCATCACAACGGGGCCCATTGTGTTCATTAAGAATAACTTTTCATTGTCCACAAAATGGAATTCTCATATAAGCCTCCAAAAGATTCACCATATTTAATAAAAAAAACTTTATAAGTCACATATTTATCAAATACTCCCAGAATCCTTTTACTGCTTAAACTAACAAGGATCTCGCTAATTAGCATTGACTGCAGAACATATACAACTATGACCAATCTGGGTAAATATAATCATTCCTTCCAGAAAACCAACTCCACCACCCCTCCCACTCTCACAGGAACGAATTCTAAACCCCCACCCATCCCACAAGATCATTTCATATCCATGTCTCTGAACCGGGAAATACCTCCAGTCACATAAACGTCAACATAAATACATCCATGTTTTTACTTAATGGACATAACAAGGATCAACTTAAAAAAAGTTGTTACTTTTTCACCAGTTTATACTTTCAAATTAAAATGCATCATACCTTTATAACACGCCAGTGTAAGCGCACTTTCCTTGAACTCATTGGAATGAGTATTGATTCCAGCTCCATATTCTAAAAGCACCCGAGCAACTTCAACATGGCCAGCACTTGCTGCCTCCATTAGAGGTGTATGACCATTTTCATTGTGATCCTCAATATTGGCTCCAGCTTTCAGAAGCTCTTTGACAACATCAACAAAACCTCCAGCACAAGCGTAAGTGAGTGCTGTGTTTCCTGAGGGACAGACAGTTATGAATCAAATTGCGAATTCACGTTACAAGTGAAGGAAACCAAGTATCTCAAACTTAGATTACCTGTTGAAGACTGAGCATTCACATCCGCATCATGGGCCAATAGTAGTTTTACTATGTCGACGTAGCCTCCACTGGCAGCTGCCATCAATGGAGTTATGTCTCCCTTGATCCCACGATCTTCAACATTGGCATGCACAGCTAACAAGACCTGAAGAATCAAGTGATCATATTAAGAAGATTACATGAATTGCACTTATGCCCCACAGTGAATATTCTGAAACACAAAATCCCATGGAGAGTAAGTTCACACATTCATGGCAAAAAAAATAAAGGTATCATTTCAGAACTCAAAGCAAGCCAAAGCCTTTCCATATTTCTTTGTATCATTAGATTTCGATCTTAAGGAAGCTATTTGGAGAGTCACCAAATACAACTTCCTCAGGGAAATGGGGAGGTCAGAAAACAACTTGTCCCTGCACAGCAAAGGAGGTGCAGATATCCCGATTTTACTCTATTTAGCATGCATACCACACAGGCAAGAGACCCAAATCAATTCAGACATGATATTATTCCTCTCTATGGGGTAAAACTGGAGTACCAGAACTGTGAAAAGTATGTTCTGTTTGTATAATCGATATTGAACAGCCTGTTCTGTATTGGAAGGATAACAGATCCTTGGCTGCTCTGCATTTTGATATATGTGAGTTTTGAAAAATCTAAGCACAAAATATTTGGTTGTTTGCAGTTCATTGGGGTAGGTTTATTGTAAATGAAATGGGGCGTTCGTGAGCATCATGTTTAACACCTACTTGTGCGAGTTCATAATAGCCAGCTGAACAAGCCAGGCAAAGGAGGCTTTCACCCTCTTCCGTATGCTCATTTACACTCCGCCCTTCATCTAGCAGTTTGCGGACAGCATTCACATCTCCATCCGAGCACGCTTCTGCTAAGCTTCGGCTAAAGGTAAAAGAAAGCTCTGTAAAGTAAGTTATTGTAAAACCTACAACTTAAAACAATTTTATAAGTGCAGCTGTTGCTGAACATAAGAAAAACAGTGTTATGTCTGAACATCCATCTGCCACATTGCAGCTCAAGAGTGAAAATCCTGAAACAAGTCATTTGATTTCAACACATTTAATAACATTCAGTGATCCTTTTGGTCAAAGCTGTTCAGCATCAAGCTTCTGTGGATATCTAATGTTTTAAACCAAACAGTCTTCTTCAATCTTCAAAATTAACAAACACTGTAGCTTGAAACCAGAAATCATAGGCTTATAACAATAGATCCACAATAGGAGAATGGGGTTGGATCACATTTCTATATGTCCCGCATCATACAATGATAAATATTGGTGAAAGCACCAGACAAACCAAAAGGTTGAGAAAGCATATTGGATGAAGATCAGGTACAGTCAAAACATCCATTTGAACAAATTACTGAACCCTATTTCTTTTCCTCCCACCAGCTCCTCTTATATGAAAGGTACTCTAGGAGTACAAGTTGTTGAAGGCAATTGCCAGTATCTCACTGAAATGATCATTGTTCAATGTTTCCAGGCAGCTAGTATCAATGGTTACTGAACCCCCATAAGTCATGCTAGCAAAGCCCCATCATGCCTTTACTTGGCAATCCATGTAAAGCAGTACAACAACTTGCACTTATAAAGCGCCCTCCAAGTGGGGTAGCATCTCAGAGCGCCTAACGGTGGCAGAGCCTGACTTCGAGCGGGGGCACACAGTCGAAAAGGAATGTTTTCAGGCGGGACTTGAAAAAGTGGGAGGAGGGGGCATTACCAGGGAGGTCACAGATTGCTGGGCAGATTATCATATTAGAACCTAAATTCAAGTTCTCGCCTGCAGTTTAGACTAAAATAAAAGTTATGCATTGCTCTGAATTCTTGATTAGTCAGCTTAGGCTTTACTACAGTTCCCAAGGTGCACGTCCTGGCACAAATCTCATCTATGAACAGAGTATTACATTATGGCTCCACGTCAAATGGTGCAGTGGGCAAATTCAGTGGGATAGGCCTACAGGAAACAGCCAAATTTGATCACTCATCTGTGCTCCATTCACGAATTTCAAACAGATAGTGATTGAAATGCAATAACAACAACTTGCATTCATATAGCACCTTTCACGCGGGGTAGCATCTGGGAGTTTCCGCGGATGAAGGTGACAGGGGCTCATGAGGGAGCATCAAAGCGAAATAATAATAATTATTATTATCAAAGCAAAAATATAAAGAGTTGGAACCCCAAATCATCAGCCAGAAACCCTCACTGGAAATAAGCTCAGCTGCAAAGACTAATGAAACTAAAAAAAATCAAAAATCTGCAAACACTCATCGTATTCCAGCATTCTTCACCCTCTTTGAGGAAAGGTTTATTTTCAGCTGTGGCCTGTCTGATCCTGGACACAAATTAACCCAACAAACCTGACAGTACAATCAGTGCCTGCAGGCAGGCGATTCAAACTCTTTTTGTGTCTTCATAACCACTGCTTAAGCACCTGAAGCCCAATCAGCCTTGCGATACTACTTATAATCCTTCAAACTAAAGACAACACATCTTTGTATTCTGCTCTTTCATGGCACAAATGGTTTGTCAGGGTGGCCGGAGGGTGGCCAGTTCTAATTCCAACAAGCTTATGAAGCATGCAGGGCAGGAGTTTGTCAAGATACTCGCATTGCCCCAAACCCTGTTCCCCAAGGTTCACTCAGTATTCTCCCCATAGAAGAAATCTGAGTGATCTCTGGCATTCAGTCAATTTCTGAAAGTCAGCAAAGCAAGTCTGCACTGATTTTTAGGATTGCCCAAAAGAGAAAGGTTGAACCACCAATGACTCAACCCATCAGACAGACCATTTTCAGAAAGAGATTACTACTACTGTATGTTCTATTTCAATGTTGTGCAATTCCCTTTCAACTTTGGACAGGAGTAAACTGGTTGGGGGAGGCAGGGAGTGGGGGAAGACGAGAACAGGAACAATGTGAGTTTAAGCAATGTGTAAAAGCTAATGGCATCAGGTTACAGCAGTCTACAAATATCAAAGTTCAAATCCACAAGAAAGGAACCCTAGTCATCTACACAGGACGGAGGTCAGCTATTTGAGAATTTAGCCTGCTTGAAATTGACACAATAAAATTCATCGACCGGATCAAGGTGTTTCCAGTTAATGGACCAATAGTGAAACGATCAACACGCCTGGAGATAGTTACTGCAGTACACATACCAGCAGTTGAAGGGACAGATAATTAGCAGATTAACATTTGTTTAAATTCCAGTAACGAGTTAACTGAAACTATGAGTACTAAATACTCTGCCAATCAGTTGCTCTTTACTACTTAAGACATGTATTAACACAAAACAATACAAAAGTAACACTAATGTGAACTGCTGAATTTATTTGTGTCATGGGATATAAACAGCTTTTACATCTACCTTTACTCTCCCCCCCCACCCCCTCACACACAAAGCAAATTTAAAAACACATACTTGTCTGCTTGTCCTGCATTTAGAGTATTCTCTGCTCTCATTCGGGTCAAGGCTGCAGCAGCTTCATCCAACGCACAGCTAACAGAAGAAGTCAGTCTTCGGAGTACCTCAGGATCTGCGAAGGCTTTACCATCAGCAGTGGACAATTTACCAATTCCTTTTGTTTTGGTTCATCACATCAGTTAGTAGGAATGTTGCAAGTGAAAATGCAAAGACACAAACACAAAAGCCAAACGTTAAATGCAGTCCATGCACAAATAATGTTAGTCTACAAAAAGCTATACAGCAAGTTTCATACGGAACGTGCAAAGTCAACACAACCAAAAAATCTTTACATTTGTGATTTGGGATGAATTTTGCAAGGTGTTCTGAAACCACTGCCTGCTCACTTTATCAAAGTAAACTGAATGGCTCTCTAAAGGGGGCTTTGCATAAGGATATTCTAAACTTCCAATGCAACTTGAAATATCTTTCATCACCTCACTCAAACCAAACCATTCAGTAAATTATGCAGATTAAAATCAGCAATATGGTGTCTTTCAAAACTATTCACAATCCCCTTTTCAAAATAAATCTAAAAGTTAGGTAGGAACTCAACTCCTAGCAAAACTCGATTGGATTGCTATACCAGCATGAAATATTTAATATACAATATCAAATAAAATGCACCCATCTGGCAGATCATTTAAACAGTGGGAGCGCAAGGACTAGATTCCAATCAACGCCCAATTGTGTGACCACTCTGTAAATACAGTACTTTGAAGCCTGATGAGTTTCCAACATCCTTTGGGCATTGGGGAGTGAGATGAAAATAACCCAGGCAAAGCACCATTGATGTGCATTTTGATCAATTTAAAGAGGTTTAATTCTATGTAATAAATCTTGAGCTGGGTTCGTATCTCAATTTTCTTTTCTGCCACTGTTAAATTTACTTTTTTTTTAATAATTTCTTGATCTTGTGAAGTAATTCACACCATCACATCTAATTTTATCCCATTAACAACCTGGATCAAAATAGAACATTAAATTAAGGCGGGCAGGCATATTTATAGAATTTTATAAACCCAGGGATCTGGAAATTAAAACTCGCTCCACATGGTTATTGAAATAAACACTGCTGACCCCTGCATCTATTAAATTTTCGAACCTTACAGTCCTTAAACACTTCCTAGAATTTTTTTTAAAATCACCTTCAAATCATATTCAGCTTATTACTTTGAATATATAAATCGAAGCAGGAATAGACACCGAGGAACTGCATGGGAGCGTTTACAGAGCTTGACTACGCAAGAAGGTTAAATTAATACACTCGAAATGTGGAATTGATGAAGCGCCAGGTTAATAACTATTTGAAAAGTGTAGGTTAATTCAGTTACCCCAAGCACAATAGGTTTCGGTAACTTATCCAAGCCATTTTATGACATCAGTGTTTGAACTAACACATTACATCAAAAGCAAACATAGTAACATTTTCACTTTAAGGCACCCTCGGAAACCGAAGGCTAAACAGGTTGGATACGTATGCCACACATTTTGGGATTTAATGATCAGTCGACAAAGATTTAATTAAAACAATTCTTAAATTGTAACTAATAACACTGGACTTAAATCAATCTTAAATTTGAATCCATACAAGTGCACATTTCTGCACTAAACTAGTTGGGCCAAATGGCCTGTTCCCATGCCGCATCATTCTATGAACAGTTTTTTTTTCCAGTTTTAACTGGGTTTCAAATCCATAAGTACATATTATATTTTGGCAAAACTGGCAACAACAGGTCTGTAATCATGCCAATCAACAATAAAAACAATTAATGTAATTGCAATATCAGACAGATATGCCCAACACTGAAAGATAACTGAAAAGATTGAGAAATGAAGTGCCAAACCCTCAGTCCACTGAATACTGTAGAAACTTTATTGAACAAAATTATCTGCCGATTTATAAATTAGTGGTATGCACCAGGCCACTATAATGAGACACATACCACCGTCTTAAAAATCCCAAATGACAATGGCCTGCAGTAAGCTATTGCAGAGAATTTAGATTAGATCATACAGTTCATGCAGCCAACCTGTGATTAAAGATTTTTGACGATGCTTCTTTTGAACTATGTCTACAAACCAGAATAAAAAAATCTTTTTCCTTCGAAAAAAAAGTAGTATCAGGATTTACTTCGATCCAGAATTGTTACTGAGAGCTAAGTATAGGTTTCCTCGACATTTTCCTTTCATCTCCCCTACCTGACTGAGGTTGTGTGACTGAATTTCCAGGGCCAAGGCAAAATAGGTGTTTAACAATAGCAACTCTGAATCGCTATTGAGGTGGGGAATCTTCTTATTTGTAACCACCCAGTTGGAAATATAACAATTGCACAGTATGATGAGAATTTACATTTTACAAATAACAGATTAAACACGATTCACTTTTCCATTACTTTAAATGCTTTTTAAATAATATCCTTTGAAGGAATCTACATAATAGGTGCAACTATTATGTAAAAACACAGGACCCAAGATTAGAAGGAAGAAAAAATTACTACAGGTCTATTTGCAACAAACCATACATTTTTCCCTCCACAAAGAGAGCAGTATTATAGTACCGTATAGTAATAGTACCGGTGGTGAATGGGCACTGTTCAAATTAGACTAACATCTTGTGTGCATGAGTAAATCGGTTAATTAGCATAATGATTCACTTTAGTTGTGTGAAAGTCAATGTATTAATTAACCTATTTTACATACACAAACCCAATTAGAATAACCGAATTCAACAACAAAGGGTTCAGGTTTCAAAAAGAAGTGTGTGGGGGGAGGGGTTCTGAACAATAGTAATGTTTTAAGAGTGGAAGAAAATCGGAACGAAATGTAAAATGTGTAAGCAATGAATGAGGTTCCAGGTACATAAAGCAAAAGAATAAAACCACAGAAATTAGGCTGTTTAGGATACAGTTTCTGGGACCAGGACAACACCACAAAAGATGGTCACTGCATTTTGTACAGCAATAAACAAATGTGCCTGGAGAAGCTCAAAGGATTCCTTTTAATATTACCTTGCGTGCCAGTGAGCGTGATGTATTGTTCCACAACAAAACTTTAGTCTACTTATGTATGTAACACAATTGTCAGTCACGCCCAGGTTTTCCTACAAGAGGAAACCCCTTGGTATTGCGGTGCTCACAGCATGAACCATCTCTCCTTTTAGCCTTGGGCCCTAAGTACAAAGGTCTCTGGGACTTCATTCACAGTTTGCCTGTCTGTGGAATGTTGAACTGGGAATCAGCATTGCTTTTCCTTTTGCTCCCCAAGGAGTGAACCCACAGGGATCCTTATCCTAGCATCCACTAAACTGAAAAAATTAAATTCAATCGACTATCTATAATTGGAATATTAAATCAGCTTTGGCACCTCGCCTGAGATCAAGATCATGTGAGCACAGAAGTTTAGAATGCATGAGCATTCATCAAGTGCCTTAAACAAGGCTCTGGTGGGTACCAGAGTCCTTAAAATGTTGGAGGAACAAGACCACAGCAAATTACCTATATGGATCACAAACCAAGGACTCAAGCTCACAGAAGATGAGAAAACATTGATCTTCTTCCACCCGAGATGGACAGAAAATCCACACGTATGTATTTTTTTCGGCACAAGGCGAATTTCAAATATCCACCTTGAATAATGCTTCACATCAGTCTCATTACAGCCCTTGGCACGTTCTATTGGGTCTGCAGGAGGTAAAGTAATAAGTCAAAATTATTACAGACTCAAACAGTCTGTCTCCTTGCTACTTTGTCATAAGATCCAAGAATTGTTGGGTTTATTTGTGTAATTTATCTTACAACAGTGCCTTCAGTCCTGCTACCTGCGTAAACTGAACAGGGTGGCACACATCACAAAACTACTTCCCCAAAACACTACCGTTGATTGGTTTGGTGACTGCTGTGCAGTATTAATGTTGTCACCGGTAGTTCCACACAGATCGTTGCCACTGGGGACAGTGATCAACACAACGCACGCGATGATGTCACGAGTGGCGTAGGGTTCCAGGACTGTGCTGTGTGATGATGTCATCTGTCACATCTACATTCCACACTGAAACCCACAGAGAACGTGTGGACGAACAGCAGAGCCCAAAGGAAAAGTGAAGATGTTTGACAACTCGATGACAAATCTCAAACGTAGCATTACCATCAATGTTACTGTTTATATAATGCACATTTGAGCACACACCATGTGGGTGATGGTAAGATACACAGTAATGTGGTAAAGCACAGGGTCCAAGATGTCATGGTATGCATACTCCATTTCGAGAAAGATTACAAGAGCTGACAGTACAGGAAAGCCGAAGCATTTCCGAGGATTCATTAGTCTCAGTTCAAAAAGTAGTAATGGTACAATGCTACTACCCAAATCCTAGCTTGACGATAGCAGAGAAGTCCCAGTAAAGTTAAAATCCACTACTTACAAGAAAAGCTTGCCTCCACATACAGTACAGCAAGAAGATAGAATACAGTGAGGGTTGATTCTGATACTATCCACTTCTGCCAACTATTTTTTATTATTTCCCCAGTTTCATAGGGAGCCCTAGCATTTTTCTTAAGCATACAGATAAAATTGATCATTAAGCTAGATCAGAAACACTAGTTAAGATTGAAGACTGCAGCTGTACTGAAAAAAATCTTCCAATTTCACCTGCTTTTGGAGTAGGTATGTACCAGCATAAGAATTTATCAGCTACACTACACTATTCAGTATTGTATTAAATATTTTGATAACCAGTTTCCATTAAAGTTTCATATCCATTTTAAATTAACATTGTGATGGGAAGAATGTAAAAGAACTGTAAGTTTCCCATTTAATATAAAGCACATTGTATAAAAATTCAAAGGAGAAATTAGACTATTGCATATAATGGCCCATCTCATTCAATCAATTTATTCAGCTGCAGAAACCATGAAATCTTTCTGGTGCATCACTGAATTCCCAAATATTAGTTGTAGCTGAAAAAACAAAAAATGCTAGAAATCCATAGCAGGTCAATCAGTAGCTAAGAGAGAAGAGTAGGTTATAATAATCCTTGCATTTCATGTAGCAGTTTATCAACGCAAAACATTGCAAAGTGTTTCACTGTAATTACTATTAAGTGTTACGACTACT